ATGACTATCCCCTACAAGGTGAGGTAAGTCATTAATATACACCAGAAACAGGAATGGGCCGAGAATCGAGCCCTGAGGTACACCCATTAGTACAGGTGACCCGGAAGAACTTTTACCATTGATAATAACCTTCTGTTTTCTATTACTTAAATATGAAATAATAAGTTTAAGCGCTGTGTTCTTGACACCATAGTACTGTAGCTTCCTGATTAATGTCTCATGGTGAACACAGTCGAAGGCCTTGGAAAGGTCACAAAATGTACCCAAAGCATCCTCTGAATTCTCCCATGCACAAAAAATATGTTTAATAAGCTCAACTCCAGCGTCAGTTGTCGAGCGACCCCTTGTAAAACCGAATTGATTATTATGTAGCAATTTATTAATAGTAAAGAAACTTAACATCTGATCTAAAATAATTTTTTCAAAAATTTTACTTAATGTAGTACAGAAATTGGTCTAAAATTGGCGGGGTCTAATGTACTACCAGATTTAAATATAGGTATGATTTTACTATGTTTCATTAAATCAGGAAACACACCAGATTCGACGCTTATATTAAATATAGTGGCTAGATAAGGTGCTAATGTATCTATTATAGATAAAATAACTTTAACGGAAATCCCCCATAAGTCTGCCGTTTTCTTAACATCAATAGTTTTAAAATATTTAACGATATCTTTTGGCAGTACCCTATGGAATTTAAAAGTATTTTTTTTTATTTTTTTTTATAGGAGAGGGGGCAAACGAGCATGCGGCTCACCTGATGGTAAGTGACTACCGCCGCCCATGAACAACCGCAACACCAGGGGAATTGCAGATGCGTTGCCGGCCTTTTAAAAAGGAGTAGGCTCTTTTCTTGAAGGTCCCTAAGTCGTATCGGTCCGGAAAAATCCCTGGTGGTAAACTATTCCACAAGGAAGTTGTGCGAGGAAGAAAACATCTTCTAAATCGCACAGTGGTGGACCGCCAATCATCCAGATGGTGTGGATGGTATCGGGAGTTCTGCCGCGATGTGCGTTCGTGAAATTTGGCGGCTGGGATTAATCCGAACAATTCCTCAGAGCACTCCCCATGGTAGATGCGAAAGAAAATGCAAAGAGATGCAACATCTCTTCGCAGTGCCAATGAATCGAGCCGATCGGAAAGGGCTCGGTCGTCGACGATTCGAGCCGCTCTGCGCTGGATGCGGTCAAGTGGAAGGAGCTGGCACTGGGGAGCCCCTGCCCAGAGATGGGAACAGTATTCCATGTGAGGCCGAACCTGCGCCTTGTAAAGTTGCAGGCGGTGTGCCGGCATGAAATACTGTCCCGCTCTGCTGAGCACGCCAAGCTTTTTAGAGGCCAATTTGGCCTTCTCTTCCAAGTGACCACGAAACTGCACGTCACTCGATATGTCGACTCCGAGGATACCGATACTGGCTGAGGCAAGAAGGGGAGTGCCTTGAAACTGAGGAGATACGACAAAGGGGTTCTTTTTAGCGGTAAACGCGCAAACTTGTGTCTTCTGAGGATTAAACTGGACTAGATTTAGTCGCCCCCAATCCGAGACTTTGTCCAGCAAAGACTCGACTTCAGACACAAGTTTGTTCCGGTACTCGGCGACGTTTTCCCGAGAAATATTGGCCCGGCCGGTGTATAGAGCATCACCAGTGCTGTCATCCGCATAGCAATGAATGTTACCAGTTAGCAACATATCATTGATATGCAGAAGAAACAGCGTTGGTGATAGCACACAGCCTTGTGGAACACCAGCGTTAATAGGCTTGTAGTCAGAACATGCACCGTCTACAACGACCTTGATGCTCCGATCTGCAAGAAAGCTGGTGATCCAATTGCACAATTTCTCGGGAAGCCCATAGGAAGGCAGCTTCGAAAGAAGCGCTTTGTGCCAAACCCGATCAAAGGCCTTCGCAATGTCCAGACTAACGGCCAACGCCTCCCCCTTGGACTCTACTGCCTTCGCCCATCTATGGGTCAGGTAGACCAGAAGATCACCAGCTGATCGTATTGGAGGTCACTAATCAGCTGGTGATCCTCAAGGTACCGGATGAGCTGGCAGTTAATAATGGATTCCATTATTTTGGAGAACAAGGAGGTGATCGCGATAGGCCTATAGTTGGACGGGTCTGAGCGGTCGCCTTTTTTAGGGATCGGGTGGACAAAAGCTGTCTTCCATGAATTCGGGACTACGCCTTGGGAGTAGGAGTACCGGAAAAGACGCGTTAGGACCGGTGCCAACTCCGGAGCACACGTCCTCAGCACAATTGGGGGGATTCCGTCAGGCCCACTCGACTTCTGGATGTCCAGGGAGAGAAGTGCTTTGCGAACTGAGCGCTGTGAGAATAGCACATCCGGCATGGAGCACTCACACCGCGGGATGGTCGGCGGTATTTTCCCCCCGTCATCAAGAGTCGAGTTGGACGCAAAAAGGGAGCCTAAAAGGTCGGCTTTGTCTTTTGCGTCTTGGGCCAGTGAGTCGTCCTCCCTGTGCAGAGATGGTAGTGATGGCTTACAGAAATTCCCTTGGACAGCCTTGGCGAGAGACCAGAATGCACGGGTTCCCGAAGGAAGGCGAACTAGTTTCTCGCCAATTCTGCCTATGTGCTCTGACTTTGCCTTGGCAATAACTCTTTTGAAGGACCTGGAGGCGAAGTTATACTTCTTTTTAAGTGTGCTGGTGTTTACATCCCGAGTCACCGAAGCCGCAGCCCAGGCTTGATAACACTCCTGCTTACTGCGCAATGCAGTCTTACAGGAGCGACCAAACCAAGGCTGAGATCTGCCTCCGATGGGTACCACAGATGATGGAATAAATAGTTCCATTCCCTGTAGCACCACATCAGTGACAGAGTCAGCAACAGCACTGGGATCATCCGGCGAGAAGCAAACCCGCCCCCATGGGTAGGATGCAAAGAAAGACCGCATTCCGTCCCAATCCGCCGACCTGTAATGCCAAACACGGCGGCAACCTGCAGAACGCAACCGCGAAGGGAGCGTGAGTGGCACCATACTCCGGATCAGACAATGGTCCGAAGAGCCGAGAGGGGCATCGACGGAAACCTGATATCTGTCCGGATGAGAGGTCAGCAGAAGGTCCAACAGGGAAGGTGTATGATCCTCCACATTTGGAATCCGCATAGGCGAAGTAACCAGTTGTGTCAGACCATATGCCAAGGCAAAGTCATAAACAGATCTCCCCGCATGATCGGTTAAACGTGAACCGAGCCATTCGGCATGGTGGGCGTTAAAATCGCCAAGGATCACGATCTCTGCGGATGGGACCTGTTGTAGCAAGGAATCTGTAGCCATTTGGACGTGGTCGATGAGTCGGTCTGTTTCGGCATTACCGCTATGGGACCTATAGAGGCACCCGTAGACGCGCGGATGGTCGTCGCTGTCTACGCGTAGCCAAAGGATGGACAGGTCCGAACCTTCAAGACTGCCGAGGCGTCGAGAACAGATGTCCTCTCTAACATACACGCAAACTCCAGCCCGAGGCACAAAGGAGTGCTCCAATTTGTACCCCGGGTAGGAGAGATACGAAATATCAGTCGGAGAGGAAACCTGAGTCTCGGTCAAAAAGAGCAAGGCCGGCTTCGCCGTCTCGAGATGGTAGTGGACGGCGTTTAGGTTAGAGTGAAGTCCCCTGATGTTGCAGAAATTCACGGATAGCGTGGCAGGGGTCGCCTTGGTATTGTTGCTCAGCTTGCCCCGAGCAGTTTTGTTTTTGAGCGGAATTTTGCCCCCCCCCCCCCCAGAATACGCGGGGCAGCCTGAGCACCCACGCTCAGGATTGGAATAACATGGTCGTGGATGCTCAGCGAGGGATTCTCCAGGGGTACTGGTACCCTCCTGGGGTAGTCTATTGTCTAATTCCGCTACCATGTTGATGGGGGGGGGGGGAATTGGGCCTCCGGCCACCTGCACTCACCAGACGAAACGCAGAAGCAGAGCCTCTACTTCACGCCGGTATTCTGTGAGGTCGTGGTACCAACCCGGCTCGAGCCGGCCCATACGTGCAACAGCAAAAAACTGCTGCAGGGCTCTACCACCGTTTAATATTTGAACAAGCCTTTACATTTTGTTTGAGCAATGATTCGGCGACAGTAGGAGAAGAATTTAATGATTTTGTTGTCAAAAAAGGAACATCAGTAAAATGTTTCTCAAAAGCCATAGCAACTTCTTGATCAGATCGCGTTAAATTATTGTTAATATTCAATTGAAAATCCGAGTTGCGCGGTTTGACCTTGCCCGTTTCACTATTTATTATTCTCCAGGTCATTTTAATTTTGTCGGATGCAGTTTTAATTTTGTTGCTTAAATGTAAAACCTTAGCAGTGGAGCACACTTTTTTAAATATTTTAGAATATGTTTTTACATAATCTCTAACCCTTTCAGACCCGTGCCGTGACGGCGCTACTTAACGAATATTACAGAACTGATTTGGGGCAAATAACATGCGTAGATTACAAAAAAGGGGTCTTAAAAATTTGAGAAAATGGGTAAACTGTTTTCCACGATACTCACGATCGTACTATGTCGGGCCCAACTATAGCTACCCTCACGATCGTGAGAGTAATAACAATATTCAAATAAAATTAAAAATTAGGACTAATTATTTATTTTATAATCAATATTAACTTAATTTCTTATTGTTAATAAGTAACAAAAATATAACCCTTCTTTTAACCTCTATTTTTGGAGTAATTAGATGCAATAAAAATCTTATTAAGAACTAGGAACAAGGCACACAATCGAGATCATCTGTTTATAATTACTAGAAGGAATAGACTTGAGAAAAATATTAAAAAAAGTTATTTTTCATTATGGAAAACGTAGAAACAATGCTTAAAGATAAACATTGCATTTTGTGCATCTTACTTTTGAACGGCTTGTACAACCTGTCACTCGGCAACAGCGAGGAGCTTTTAGAGAATCACATACGGGCCAATGGTTATACCCATCGAGACGTTTATCTATAGTTGGAATAGGTGCAGGTTGTTAGTGGGATGTTGAAGGCATCTTTGCCATTTCTTCGAATTCTTCTCGGGTGCGTTTTCTCGTTGAGCCGCCAAGTAGAAAATCAGATACGCATATTTTAAAGTCCAGAAAATCCATGATATTAGAGTTCTTGACTTTATTTCTATCACATGATTGGCGATACTCGTACCACGAGTTCACCATGGCCAAGTCAAACAAATGCATTATTAACTTGATTGGCCATTTGCGAGTTTTATGCCATGATCTGTAGACCTCCATCATTTGGTCGCTGACGTCTACACCTCCCATATGTTCGTTGTAATTTTTAATCATATCAGGGCAAGTTACTTCGATGTATGATTTTGTAACTTTATCGTAACGCTGGACCTTATGCAATGGCAGGGCTCCAATAGCAGTTGAACAAGTTAATACTGTTTTGGAGTCTTTCCATTTAATGACACAGATATCTTTTTTATTGTTAACAACCTCGTGATAATCACCCCGATTCATTGAAGAGTCTTTGGGAAACTGGTATCCTTTAAATCTATTGGTTATTATTGTTCCAGTGCCTTCAATTCCAAGCGTTAACATCTTCTCAAGTAATGGAATGGTCGTGAAATATCTATCAAAATAGACGAAACTTCCTCTGGGCAGGGTATTTATTAAACGTAAAACTATAGCGGGTCCAAGGCCCAAAGATCTGTCTGAAAGTGGAGTGGTGTCGCCTTGATGGAGCTCAAAATCTAACACTAATCCTTTCGATGATGTCACGACATAATTTTTAAGGCCCACTGGTCTCGGTTTGCCTTTCACAAGTTGTCTGACAGGACACTTACCGAGTAATGGCACCATTTGTTCATCTATTGAAAAGTGAGATTGATCTCTAGGTATCTGTAAGCATCTGCCCCTTACAGCATCTATCAGTGGCTGGACAAGCCACAGTTTGTTCTGAGTTTGTATTTCAGGTGATACAGATCCCTTATCTACTATGTGTAAGTTTACTCTGAAAAGAAAGAATCTTTCACGAGCCATTGCCTCTGCAATACAAGATAGTCTAAATCCACACCATCTTGATTCTAGGATATCTAATACAGCCCAGGATTCCATTAATACCAAAAAACTTTTTAATTTCTGTCGCAGTAACCGGAGGATTAAGTTGTTTGTTAAAACTCGACTGATAATAAACATTCGTGTTAAAAGCAAATAACTCGTAAATTTCTTCAGTAAAGTACCTATCAAAGTATTCACTTGGAGTAAGTACTTCTTCCGTCGGCTCCGAGATCAGTGTAGGCATGGGTTTACCGACGAATCGTCTGCGAATCCATTTATTCGACGATGATGGACTTGCTACTGTTGAATTTCTTGCTTCTTGCTTGTCTTCGTTATCCGAGCTAGAATTAGTTAGCTGACCAGGTGGATGCCAATCATTATCGTCGTCAAAGTCCTCGCCCAAATCCGAGTCAGCCAGTTGATCCATTATAGCATCAGGGTCAAAAGCCAAGTTATTTCTATCCATAACAATGTATCAAATAGGCTGAAAAGTAAACAAGAGGGTTTTTAACATAAAATAATTGGTATAAATAATCACTAATCCGACCAACGTTGGGCCCGAACCCTCACGATTGTGACATCTAAAAGTAAAGTCGAAAAAGACAAACTAAAAACGCGAAAGGACGAATAAAAACATAATTTATCGAGAATTTAGCTTTTTTCAAACGAATTATTGCAATAACATTATAGTTTTTACTTACTTTAACGTGACAAACAGGTATGTTTAATTTTGGCGCGTAACACGTGTCTGTTGCTAGGCGGCAAATGGCAACTGAGTCAAAATTATTGTAATTTAATTCCACTGCTCTTTGTCATAATAAACCGAACTACACGCACGATCGTGTGACGCTGTCCCCGTCAACTCACGGCTATTGTTTAATTTTATAAAAATTGACAAAGTCACCGTCACAATTGTGAGTACTGGGACCGAAAGGGCTAAATATAACACTACTATTATATGATCTTTCATCATAAAGCTCGTATAACCTTCGCCTACTTTTATAAATTCCTACTGTCGCCCATTCATTAAATGATTTGCGACTGTTAAAAGAGAAAGTTTTAGAAGTAAATATTCTACTAAATTCACAACGTATAATTTCAAATAATGTAGCATACAAATAATTAGCACTATTTTTAAACGAAAGTGATGGAAGTCTTTTTATTATATTACTTCTAAACCTCTCCAAGCGATGTTCATTTATTGGAACAAACACAACTTTCTTATTTTTCTGTTTTTTGTGTATGTAAGGTAGTGATACTAACTGTCCACAGTGATCTGAACTTAAATTTTGAATAATTGATTTATGCAAGGGCTTAACATCTGTAAAAATGTTATCTATACAGGTCGCACTAGGCCCAGCAATACGTGTTGGTTCTAAGCTAGTAGGTATATGGCTCATAGTACCTACTTGTCATCAGGTAAGCGGCGTGCTCGTTTGTTACCCTCTGATGGTATTTACGATCTGCCTGCCAAACTGTGTTTTTTTATAGGAGGGGAGGCAAACGAGCATGCATCTAACCTGATGATAAGTTTCAACCACCGCCTATGAATAACTGCAACACCAGGAGAATCGTAGGTGCGTTGCGGGTCTTTTAAAAAAGAACAGGCTCTTTTCTTGAAGGTACCTTGGTCTCTTGCTCCAGAAATATCACAGGTGTCTTATTGCAATAGCTTATAAATCTCGTTTTGCTCTAAAATATTACAGATAGTGTTAGTAGTATTATAAATTTTTAGTACTCTTATGTAATTTAACTTATATAAAAAGTAATAACTTGAATGTCGAATAAATTAACTTTAAAACCATAATCCCTTATTTAAAAAAATAAAAATAAATTAAGGTACTTTAGGTTGGAATGTTTTCTTAAATATATATATAGACCCATACATTAAATCCGCATCTCCTTAATCAAGTGCATCAAGCGGACTGTATAGGTACCATTCATTTTGTAGAATAAGGGTAATTAACAAAAAATCACCCTTATTCTATAAAACGAATGGTACCATTCCTGAAGTATACAAATATGATATACGACTTCTTATACTGTTGACGAATAAAATATTTAAGGAAGTGTTGTATAAATATCACGCAAGCAATTAACTAAGTTTTAACTGCTTGTGTGTTGTGGACAGAGTTCGTTGCTAGTTGGTACGTGCGACAACTCAGATAATAGTTTACTTATAAGCTGCGGTTTAGTTGTGACCATTGTTCGCGTTTTTCATACGTGTGAAGATTTGTGAGGGCTTGTAGACTTAGCTATCAACGTAACTTAGTGCTAACTTAGTGGTTACGTGTCTAATGGCGAAATACTCAAACGCTTCTCAATTTTAAGATGTCGTTAAGTATAATGGTGTTGCAGTCAGTTTGATTTCAAGTGATAGAGACAGGATTAACACTTTCTCAGTCCGGTTTTCAGACACAATACTAAGACAATAACAATGACCTATATGTAGTGCACGGGACAGCGAAAGGGTTAAAATTGAGTAGCGTTTGAGTATTTGGGCATTAGAAACCGACATTAGTGCATTGTTTTGCCGCTCTTTTATCAACTGTGCAGTGCCTACATATTATCGGCTGTTCAGATTTAAGCGTACTATTTGACGTGTATGAGTGTGACGTATCAAAACAAAATTATAATCAGTAACATAAAATATCGGATAAAATAGATCGAACATAAATTGCCTAAAAGAGGCCACGCTTGGCAGCCGGTTTTTTTTTTTTACTTGTTACTAGGAAGACGCTCCTGCCCACATCTTGATTTGTTTCCCTCTGTCGTCTCTTACGACACTCAATAGTGTGGGATTGGAAGTTTGAAGTCAACCTTTTTTACCACATCTAATCAAATACGAACAATCTCGATTTCAGATTTATAATTAGATTAATTTAAAATCCAAACATGAATCGAGCGGATCCAAAAAAAATTCATAAGACATTTGTTTCACGTACGTGGGTTTAAGAGTTATAAGCTGCGTGTATCATATGAAAATAACTTGGTCTATTTCAAAATGATTTCTCTAGAAAATAGCAGGGATACTATTGATTAATTTTTGCTTCCAATATTATTAGTGACGTTATTGATTGTCCTGAAATTTTAAGTAAATTTGATTTGTGCTTTCCTTTCGTTATCCGCGTTTTGCTCGTAAGATTAAACCATTGACTAGACTTCATCGTAGAACAATGTTTGACTCCAATTCTTCAATTGATAGAATGAGTAAAATTGTTAACAAATTTAACGACACAATCAATATATTTTTCGCCCGTCCTAACAAGCTCCATCGCACATTAAGAGACCATCTCTTTTAATATTCTATAAAACATTTTCTTTTCTTTCCGCTTCTATATACTCTTGGTACTGTATATCGCTATCAATTATTTTTTTTTTATCGAAGAAATAAAGTTACACAGTGATGAGATAGTTATTTGCATGACCTGTAACCATGCCTGTAATTATTTGTACATTTAAGTTCTTATCTATTCATTGTATTTAGAATGATACACGTTTTCAACTGAACGGAAAACTGGCACGACGCGATGTAAAATATCGTGAACATTTCTTACGCAAGATTTTATCGCAACTCGATATAAGGTATGGCTTCTATTAATCGTTAAAAGTTCGTGAAGCTCCCCGTTGGTTTCGTCAATAGTGAATTTTGTGTTATTCCAAATTAAGTCGGTAGTATAATTGTAATACGGCCAATGATCGCTACAATATTTTATGTATTTATTTAAAATTTTAAACGTGTTACCTCATTGGCCCATTGGTCGTAAGCACGGTTTATAATCTTTAGGTCCCGGGCTAAAACCCGGGTCGGACCAAAATCGGTTATTAGGTTATCTATCAATAAATGCTCAGTAATAGCCCGGACTCAGGCAGTTAGCTGTGTTTCACCACCGTGCCTTTGAAAGCACGTAAAGGCGTAGATCCAACTCCTGCTCTCCCTCTGGTCGTGTCGGATTACCGTCCCATTGGGCTATGAGAGGGAGGCAATAGAGAGTGCAAGTTTCCGTTGAGAGCGGACGTCGTGAACGAAATTCAGTCTGTAGGACATTTTTTTATAGATAGGGTGACAAACGAGCACACAGTCCACCTGATGGTAAGTGGTGGCTGTGGCCCATAGACATCTACATCTATCCTCGATAAAGAATCAAAAGGCAGATGCGTTGTCACCCGTGAGGACTTAGATGGAATGCCTCTTTTCCAGTAAAATATGTCTCCGGTTCTCCACACTCACCATACGAAACACAGCAGTGTTAAGCTTCTATTTTACGCTAGTATTCTGTGAAAGCGTGTTCCTTCCCCGGTCGAGCCGACCCATTCGTGCTACAACTATACTACTAATATAGCTGCAGCATGTCTCTACAACGTTTAAAACATTACACTAGAAAAGACATGTCACCGTAGATAATACGGGTCGTGTTTCGACTCTAAACGAGGCACCTTAAGGAGTCTCTGCGATAGCTAACCGCATAGAATTATTGAATCTTATCTTATTCATTTTAACGTATTCAGCTTGATTGTTACAGCTCTATAATGACGATGTAGATTGAAAGCTAAGATGGAATGAGGTTTCATTGCCTGTATGTATTCTGTCTCCGTTTCTAATTAAACTCAAACATTGTGTTAGGTAATAGGTAAAAGGGTGATATCAACGTAGATCGAAGCCTAGACTGACAAGGAGTCACGCTTGTAGTTTTTTTTTATAGAATAGGGGACAAACGAGCAGGCTCACCTGATGGTAAGTGACTACCGCCGCCCATGAACAACCGCAACACCAGGGGAATCGCAGATGCGTTGCCGGCCTTTTAGAAAGGTGTAAGCTCTTTTCTTGAAGGTTCCTAAGTCGTATCGGTTCGGAAAATTCGCTGGTGGTAATTGATTCCACAAAGAAGTTGTGCGAGGGAGAAAACTTCTTCTAAATCGCACAGTGGTGGACCGCCAATCATCCAGATGGTATGAATGGTAACGCGAGTTTTGTCGCGATGTACGATAGTGAAATTGAGCGGCTGGAATTAGTCCGAACAATTCCTCAGAGCACTCCCCGTGATAGATGCGATAAAATACGCAAAGAGATGCAACATCTCTACGCAGTGCCAGTATATCGAGCCGATCGGAAAACTCGGTCGTCGACGATTCGAATCGCTATAGTAACAAGAGCTAGAAAATACGTGAAGTATATTTTTTTTAGATAATTTCAGAGTAGTTAATTCTCGAAGGAAAATTGTCCTTAATAGTCCTTACAATTTACTGCATGGGATTCAAATCCGCGGCCTGCAGCTTTACAGATATTTTTTGTAGTACTTCTGAGCCGCTAATATGTAAATAAGAACTATTACTTACATTTAACAATATTGTATCTGACGATATGATGTCAGGAATATAGAAGCCAATAATGCTTTGAAAGTCACTGAAAAAGAAACTTCTGAAGTCCGTTTATTCACTTGAATACCTACAAACTCAGCATTGAGT